TTTAAGTCAACAGGATTGCATTGCAACCACAAACCACCTGTATGAAAGTAGCTTAGATAGAATAATAAATCCTAATGCAAACTCTGTGAAGGGGAGATTCTACAGACAACACATATACATTACAAAAGAAACCCAAGTGTTAGCAGTCTGGGATACCTAAGTATCAGGCCAACACTTACAAAACCTCAGGAGATATTCTGCATATTCAGTCCACTAAACCCACCCAATAAATCCCTGCCTCCTCCATTCCTGCAGCAGTGTACTTAGCACATGGTGTGTAGGATAGGAGGAGGATTGCAGGATGGTGCCACTTGGTGTGTGATGCTGTGGGGGACATGGGCCACTCTACAATTGAATTCTCCATCCTGCTGGATGCTCACTCACCTACCTTCATACAGCTTGATTAATTAGCCTCACTGTAATATCCAACAGTTGTAGCAGGTTCTCCTTTCCTATTTCTAGAGCAGAATGGAAGAATCTGATTGGGGCCAGTTGGCAACAAGGACTGTCACTTCTTACACAAGACCAATAGAGTGATGGGTCCTCCTTTCACTCATTCCATCACTCTGCGGTGCCAACCTGACCAGCTTTACACACAGATTAACGGTTTCCTAACTTGCAACAGACCGCTAGACGAGGTGATTGTCATTGCTGGAGGACATTGATAAAGTGCATAGTGGTATTCTACTGCCATGAAGTGTAGAAGGACACCTTGAAAGCTGCATTCATCATTTATCACGTACAAATATCTTCTCATCCTCTATTATTATTACAAAACCTAATTTATCCAGTCTGTATTTTAAGGAACTTTACCCATACCAACTCGATAATAATTAATGTTCTTTAGGAAGGAACATACATTCCACATGAATAATTATGCTACCAAAATGAGTGTGTGCTCTAAATTGCCTCCAGCATTTTTATGGTTTCCTCTTGCTGGAGGCTGCCATTTTGCTGAAGCCCAGAGCCCCTGAGCAGCAGTAAATGTTTAGGCTGTCAGTGGACTGGTCTCTACAAATTCAGCACAGTGCCTAAACATGTAGAGCAACTGAGCATGTGCAGAGCAGGGCGAGACAGTGTATTACTGGATTATACACAGTATAGGCACTTATATTTCTTGTTTTTTATAACTATTCCTGTAAAACAGGCCAGCCTGAAGTGATCTAACAAGACTTCCTTTTCTGACTAAAGTTCCACTTTAAGAAAATTGGATCTCTGTGTGCCTGACACAGAATGGGACATTTATTGCAACCCTTTCAGGGCATATTCTGCAATTTATATTTTACTATTCTATTTAAAGCAGTACTAAGGAATCAATAAGCCTGATGTCTGCAGGGGAACAATCAAACCACAACAACCTCCTACTGCATAGAGCTCTACCAACATACTCCATAACACACCAGACTCACAGCAGTTCCAGCAATATAAAGACCTCCCTTGCCAAAACCACCTTCATTTTTTTCTTAAAAAGGACAATTGTACTTTTAGGCTGGCCATAGACCGTTCATTTATTTTTTTTTTCAGTCAGCAGGCTGATGGAGAAAAACAAAAACAAATGGATTTCCTCATTCATACATGCTCGGTGGATAGAGGAATCCTCCTCATTATGCTATTGTATTCTGCCAGCGGAGATTCCTCCACTGTCAGCGGGGATTCCTCCACTGTCAGCATTCACTGATCAAAGGCTGTAGCTGATTGGTCCAAGCTGCTGACTGATCAAAGTTTTCCAACAATCCAGTTTGACAGAGGTTGATCATTTGACCGACTTCTGTCAAGCAGGAACGGCTATTGACGGATCAAAATTCAGCCAATCCCTGCTGAACAGGTCACATCTGGATCCATTTGTAGGCAGTTTTAGACAAGGTGCACTGATCCTTTTTACCCTGGAATAAACCACCCTCCCCCTCCACAGATGTGCATTTACTATGATCTGACAGACGTGGCCTCTGGTAGTTGCTTAAGTCCTGGCCGCGCGCCTGCAATTACAGCCCTATAGACTTCTATAGGGCTGTATTTCCCACTGTCTCTAGCCTTGGAACACATCCCCATACGAGTCTATAGAGCTGCAATCATGGCCAGAAGAGTGAGGCTGTGGCTCTGGATGTAAACAATCACTGGAGGCCACGGCCATCAGATCTCAGTAAGTATACATCTATGGAAAGGGAAGGTAGGGATGGATTAGTTCAGGACAAAAGGGGCAAAACGAAAAAGTGCATTGCTGTCTGCACTTAGTCTTTCAAGTTTTAATTAAAAATATCCATTTATTTTCAGGTTATCCCAAATATTCTTAAAAAAGCCCTCTTTGTTTTAAAATTTTGTTTGGCATTCTAATAGTAAAATGCTCGGTTTTAAAAAACACACACAAAGGATCTCATACAACATGAAGTGAAAACAACCAACAGCGTTTCAGTAAGGCAAAGGTGATGTAAGAAACGCTATAACCAATGACCAACCAACCCAAAAAATCTTAACTGACCACAAATGTCCAATGTGATTGCTTTGTTCTTTTTTAATACACTCAACACTGCCTTCAAGGTCCCCAGAGACCGAATCAGATACCCACTAACACAACAGAGACTTTTTTCCATGTAGCATTTTCAGCTGAAAAGAGCCTATTGTATGGTGGTGACAGCTATTCCTGCATGAGAGAGGGCTGAGGGTCCTTTCACATCATACTGCACATAAAAATTCAACACACTGCCCCAAAAATGTATGTACTTTGATGTGCATTTGCATGAATTATCATGTGAATCTGCATTTGTTGCATTTTTTTTATGGGCATTGTGATGTGTCAGATTCCTGGAAGGGTCAAAATTTTAATTTATTCTTTATATCTTCTCTTTTTGGTTTCCATGCGTTTCACTGAAATGCACAAGTACACAACATTATGGTGTGAACTGTGCCCATAGAAATCACTCCACCAAAATACTGTGTGCTATATGCCCTCATCCCTAAATTCAAGGTATAAACCGCGTACACGGGTAGCCATGGACTTTTTTGGAGGAGCATATAGATGAAAAAAAACACTGTATATATAAAACCATAAAGTTTATACAAAACATAGAAACATATAGTAGAAAAAACACCGGCATTAAAAAGTGTCTAATTTCGTGTTACACAGGTATTGAGATCCAGTACAATCCACAAGTAGACTCAACGCATTTCAAATGATCTTCTTCAGACGTACATGTGAATAATATCCATATGATAAAACCTTTAATTTCTCTGAATAAAATCAAAAATGCATAGATAATCTGGGATCCACAAACTGTGAAGCATCTTCCTCCCCTGGACGGGGTGTGGGGTTGGAGGAACATTTTGGTGGTGTAAGTGGCATACATCAAAAAACATCACGAAAAAAAATTGTGATATATGTAGAAAACATTATCGAACATCCATCACCCTCAAACGACATAGAGGGTTGTCTCTACCAAATGTACATTGGAAAGTCACTACATAGGACCGCTCATGTATTACTAAAGCAAAGAAAATGCCAAGCTTCTCCTTATAGTTTGACCAAATACATATATATATATATATATATATATATATATATATATATATATATATATAATATATAAATATATATCAAAAGCTTTTCTATGCATTTTTGCTTTACAGAGAAGATTAAAGGTTTCAGCATACGGATTTTATCCTCATGCAGATCATCTGAAACGCGCTGATTCTACATGTGAATTGTATTGGATTCCCAATACCTGTGTAATCCTCAAATCAGACACTTCTTATTGAAGGTGTTTTTTTTTACTATATGTTTTTATGTGATGTATAAATACATTTTATGGCTTTTTTTATCTATCAAAAAATTTCCATGGCTACAAATGTACAATGTTTCTGTGCATATAGGAAGCCATTGTTTCCTCTGTGCTCTTACGGTGACCTGCAGTGATCCAGTGTGGTGAATGAACTCGCCCCAAGCGGTCATGGACTGGGGTGACCCTCAGCAGAATTGCTAAACATAAAGTAATTCATGTGTGAGAACAATCACAATTGTCATAAATACGCTGAGAACAAACTATTGACATTTCACACCGGTTGTCTAAATATCATTAACCTTTCTGTTGCACTTATATTTGGTTTTACGGATTTCTCAAAGTGAAAAAACTGCCCCCCCCCCCCCCCCCCTCCTTAATCCATGGCGACAAAGTTCATCAGAGTCATTGATTTGTGCATGATGCAAGAAAAGTACTGCAGCCGAAACCAAAATGGTTATACAAGAGGGACTGCAGCTCCAGCAATTAACATCTGTAACAGCACAGAAAGAAAGCCAGTAAAATGTTAACGCTAATCCGCATTGAGGAAAAAAAAGCTATTTTCTTCTACAAGGTCTGACAGCTGACATGAAAGAGAATTCCCGCATAACAGGATCTTCTAATGAAGAGCGAACGAAATGTGAAAAGAATGTCTACAATGCCCTCTACTGGCAAACAGCAGAGCTGCCACTCCAGGCTCTGCTGATGTGACACCAAGCACAGGAAGATATGCCAAGAGGAGAACCTCATCAATTCTTCATCCGATGTAAACGCAGACCGCAAATTAACCACTTTTAGTTGGGAGATCCAGAAATCAGGTGAACACATTAACAAGGAAAGAGCAATAATAACCACATAGGTGATTGTGATGAGGAGCAGCAATAATACCATTCCATAGGCGTATGATGTGGTGCGATCCCAGAAGTGGATGTAGTTCCCAAAATAAAGTAAACCAGCAGTGATCTCGCAGGCCCCAGGCACATTCATTGCATGAGTTTGGATGTAATGTGAAAACATGTCTTCTTGTGTCTTCTAGGGTCATAGTGCCGTCACTGTGTGCAGTGAAGACCGGATGGAACATGGAAGGTCCATAGAGTAGACGTCTGTGTAGATGACAATGGCAGCGATCAGTACAGCAAATGGGGAAATGGATCGGAGGAGTTTTTCTCATGTGACACATATTGTCTATTGTGGCTTCCCAGTGCAGAATGAGAACAAACAGTAAGTCCTCTAACAGAAGATTTCTTCCTCCTCTGCTCCTTCTATAGGGTGGGAATCTAAAACAGAAAAAAGAGATCATCAATAAACCAGTCTAAAACTCCTAATGCTGGCCACATGCATACTTCTCACTATGCATCACTTAGTCTGTGTGCTCCTTTTCCTGACCTAACCTGTCCTGGTATTTATCATACAGAGGACGTGTGTCACGGGATGCAAACCATCCCCTGAAGAACGTCTGATCGAGGTAGGCAAGCCTCTTTTGGGGGCCTGAGAGGAAATCGTTAGGTCAGCTTAATAGGCCAAACAAGATATGTACAATTTCCCTGAAAGGGCACTTATCCTTTAACACTGAGCCGCCACATATACAACGCATTCATAATGTATTCAGACCCCCTTCACTTTTGTCAATGTTGTTATGTTGCAGCCTGACACCACAGTTGTTTACATAATTTTTTTTCTCATTATTCTACACTCACTACCCCATAATGACAAAGCGAATACAGAATTTTAAAAATGCTTGCAAATGTATGAAAAAAAAAAAAACTGAAATATCACATTAGCATAAGTATTCAGACCCTTTGCAATTCCACTTGAAATTTAGCTCACGTGCCTCCCATTTTTCTTGAGCGGTGCGGAGATGTTTTCTACACCTTGATTGGAGTCCCCTGTGGTAAATTAAATTGATTGGACAAGATTTGGAAAGGTGCACACCTCCCTATAAAAGGCCCCACAGCTGACAATCCATACTGTATCAGAGCAAAAGCCATGAGGTCAAAGGACTTCCATGCAGAGCTCAGAGACAGGATTATTGTAAGGCACAGATCTGGGGAAGGCTATAAAACCTTTCTGCTGCACTGAAGTATTCCCAAGAGCACAGCGGCCTCCATACTTCTCACATAGAAAAAGTTTGGCACAACCAAGACTCTTCCAAGAGTTGGTCTCCCGGCCAAACTGAGCAATAGGGGGAGAAAGGCCTTAGTAAGTGTAGTGACTTAGATCCTGATGATCACTCAGAACAAGCTCCAGAGATCCTGTTTGGAGATGGGACAAAGTTCCAGAAGGACAACCATCACTGCAGCCCTCCACTGATCTGAGCTATATGGCAGAGGGGCTAGACAGAAGCCTCTCCTCTGTGCAAAACACATGAAAGCCCACTTGGAGTTTGCAAGAAAGCACATAAAGGACTCTCAGACTGAGGAACAAGATTCTCTGGTCTGCTGAAACCAAGATTGAACTGTTTGGCCTCAATTCTAAATGTTATGTGTGGAGGAAACCAGGCACTGCTCATCACCTGCCCAATACCATCCCAACAATAAAGCATGGTGGTGGCAGCATCATGCTGTGGGGGTGTTTTCAGCAGCAAGGACTGGGAGACTGGTCAGAGTTGAGAAAAAGCTGAATAAAGCAAAGTACAGAGATATCCTCAATGAAAACCTGTTCCACAGCACTCAGGACCTCAGTCTGGACAGAAGCTTCCCCTTCCAACATGATAATGATCCTAAGCACACAGCCAAGACAACATAGGAGTGGCTTAGGGACAACTCTGTGAATGCTCTAGAGTGGCCCGGCCAGAGCCCTGACTTGAACCCTAATGAACACTTCTGGAGAGACCTGAAAACGGTTGTCCACTGACTGTCCCCATCCAACCTGACTGAGCTTGAGATGATTTGCAAAGAAGAATGACAGAAAATCCCCCAATCCAGGTGTGCAAAGCTTGTTGTGTCATACCCAAAAAGACTCAAGGTTGGAATTGCTGCAAAAGTGCTTCACCAAAGTACTGAGTACAGGGTCTGAATACATAAGTACATGTGATATTTCAGTTTTTCTCTTTTTAATAAATTCACAGTCATTTCTAAAATTCTGTTTTCACTTTGTCATTATGGGGTACTGAGTGTAGATACATCAGAAAAAATGAATTTAAATATCTGTAGTATAAGGCTGCAACATAACACTGAAAAAGTGACGAAGGTCTGATTACTTTAGGAATGCACTGAATGTATCCGGCCAGTGTCCCTCGTTTCTGATTACAGCAGCCTCATTCAGCAACCACAGCACAGTGACTGCACTGTCACTGACAGCTCTGGTGGATCGAGCTCCCAATCACATGATCACCGCGACAGTCGGAGTGATTGCCCATGTAACTCCAACGCTACAAACTTTTAAAGGGTTGGCACCAACCAACTGTATATGGTTATAGCGGCTGTACCAAGCCATTTTTTACATTTTGGACAGAGTATGGAATAGTTGCAAATGTAATATACACAATGATAAAAGAAAAGTAAAATATAATAAAAATTTTAAAAAACAGCTTAAAAAAACCCCAAAGTTTATAAATAACAGGGCACCGATAAAAGATAAACAAAATTAAAAAAAAAAAAAAAAACTACTGAAATGTTTAGATATTACTGTGCATAAAGCTTATTACCATCTATAAATCACTGGTCCAAAAAAATTGGTTTTTAATTTTATATGTATTTTCCTTGAAAAAAGTTGTAGTTCATCAATGTATAAGCTGATATTTAATAGGATAGTAACTAAAATGTTCCATGAACAGGGGCGGACTGACCATTTGGAAACTCGGGCACTGCCCGAGGGCCTGGGGTCAGTAGGGGGCCCCATGAGATGCCCCTGGTACCTTTTTCATAGGCTTTTTTGAGTTTGGGCAAGGACACAGGGCCTCATGATCCCCTATTGCCCGGGGCCCCATGAGTTGTCAGTCTACCCCTGTCCAGGAATAACAACTATCACACAGATCTAACATATACAGCGGGTAAAAGTACTGAACATGTCACCCTTTTTCTCAGTAAATATACTGCTAAAGGTGCTATTGCCATGAAAATTTCAGCACGTCGGTAACAACCCATGCCCTCCATACATACTAAGAAACCAAAACAAGTTCAGAAATTTAGCTATGTGTAATAAAATGGAATGACACAGCAAAAAATATTGAACACGCCAACTGAAATGTATTTAATACTTTGTACAAAATCCTCTGTTGGTAATGACAGCTTCAAGTCGACTTCTGTATGGAGAAACTAGTGGCATGCATTGCTCAGGTGGGATTTTGGCCCATTCTTCCACACAGTCTTCAAATCCTGAAGGTTCCGTGGGCCTCTTCTATGAACTCTGATCCTTAGTTCTTTCCAAAGATTTACTATTGGGTTCAAGTCAGGTGATTGGCTGGGCTATTCTAGCAGCTTTATTTTCCTTTCTTTGAAAGCAATTGAGAGTCTCCTTGGCTTTGTGTTTAGGATCATTGTCTTGCTGACATGTCCACCCTCGTTTCATCGTCAGCTTCCTGATAGATGGCAGCAGATTTTTATCAGGAATGTCTTGGTACATTCTTTCATTCATCCTTCCTTCAATGACATGAAATTTGCCAGTACAGTATGCTCAAAATCAGCCCCATCCCATGATGTTCCCAACTCCAAACTTCACTGTTGGGATGGTGTTTTTGGGGTGATGTGCAGTGCCATTTGATCTCCAACCATGGTGTGTATTATGGCATCCAGCGAGTTCAGTTTTGGTCTCATCTGACCAGACTATATTCTTCCAGTATTTTACAGGTTTGTCTAAATGTTGTGCAGCAAACTTTAAAAGAACTTCAACATGCTTTTTCTTCAGCAATGGAGTCTTGTGTACTGAATGTGCATACAGGCCATGGTGGTTGAGTGCATTGCTTATTGTTTTCTTTGAAACAATTGTACGTGCTAATTTCAGGTCTTTCTGAAGCTCTCCACAAGTGGTCCTTGGTTCTTGGACAACACTTCTGATAATTCTTTTCACTCTTCTGTCAGAAATCTTGCGAGAAACACCTGGTCGTGGCCGGTTTATGGTGAAATGATGATCTTTCCACTTCTGAATTGTGGCCCCAACAGTGCTCACTGGAACATTCAGCAGTTTAGAAATCCTTCTGTAACCAATGCCATCAGTATGTTTTGAAACAAAAAGGTTGCGAAGGTGTTGAGAGAGCTCTTTGCTTTTACCCATCATGAGATGTTTCTGCTAATTAGACATTTTTTTTATAGGCCATCAGTTGAGACTGAACCAGTTGATATTAATTTGCACTGACAAGAGGCAGGACTTCTTTCTAATTACTGATAGATTACAGCTGGTGTCTTGGCTTTCCATGCCTTTTTGCACCTCCCTTTCTTCATGTAATAATACTGTCATTCCATTTTATTGCACATAACTTAATTTCAGAATTTGTCTGGTTTCTTTGTATGTATGGATTGCATGGGTTGTTACCGACGTGGTGACAATTTCATATCACTAGCACCTTTAGAAATAGATTTACTGAGAAAACTGGTGACGTGTTCAATACTTATTTTACCCGCTGCACGCGTTCACGCTTGAACCTTCATAAACCATGTGCACACATGAAAAGATATATGCAGACTAGACATTCAAATACTGAAATCCGTGTTGTGTTTGATGAAATTACTCGTATAGCATGACTCACCAGTCCAGATATACTGTAAATATAAATGTCAATCCTAGAAAGAAAAAAAAAAAAAAAAAAAAGACACTTCCGATATATATGCAAATGTTCCATAAATCCAGATGGGATAATGGTTTTTACAGTCCATAGGTGCTGAATATCATCGGTAATGATAATTCATCTTAAAGAACAAATGCATATAACATGGAACTCTACACTGCACAGCAAGAGCAGAACAGTTGGAGGTACGTTGGTACAAGACATCCAAGACCAAAACTATATACAACATTGTACTATGCCACTCCATTGCTAAAAATGTGATATCCGTTAATGTTAGACACACTTCATTAATAGATTGTTTTCACTTACTTCAGATTTTATTTCCTTTGTGTATATTTTTGTCCATGGATATATATTTAGTTAACCCATAGTTTTGGACCAGAGTCTTTAACCCTTTGAGGACCGTAAGATTTTGGAACGCCAAAAGAATACATTTTTTTGTTTTTAAAGTTCGTACACTTCAGTTGCTGTAACTAAGCCATTTCATGAAATAATTGGCAAAAAGCTAGATCCATTTGTTGTTTGTTGATAAGAACTAATATTTTGACTCAAACC